CTTGACCACAGGTGAAGGTGGACCGAGAAGGGGTCTGAAAGGGGGAAGAAGATATTAGGTAGCAACGTCTGGGAGGTCTTCGTAAAAAAAAACATGGGCGACTAAGCCCAATAAGCGGACAAGTAAGCCGGATTAGGCCCCGGATTAAGCTGGATCCAGCGGGAGCAAGCCAGAGTAAACCTGATCAAGCGAGATCAGGCATTTGAATCGGCCGGAAAGGATGAGGTAGGATGAGCAGGAGGAGACAGTGAGTAGGAGGAGAATCACGAAGAGTAGGACGCAGAGGGAGAGAAGGGGAGGAGAAGAGGACGGAGCAGGGGTTGGAGAAATGGGGAGGAAAAGCAGGAAGAGAAGCCTATACCCCTATCCCTACCCCGCCCTCTGTGACGTCCCCAAACGCTTCGAACGCCCCTCCGCCTCCACCACGCGTCTCTCTCTCTCTGTCTCTCTCTCGCTATCTCTCTCTCTGCTATTCAGCTTTAGTTTCGGCTTCAGCTGTCGATGCACCGTGAAGCGCATTCGGGCCAGCTCACCCGAGTCAGATTTGACACTCGCACGGGTGCTCCCCTCTCTCTCTCTCTCTCTCTCTCTCTCTATGTATCTCTCTCTCTCTCTCTCTCTTTCTCTCTCTCTCTAGTTCTCTCTCTCTCTCTCTCTCTCCGACATGAAAGAAACCCTCTAAGCGCATGCCCAGAGGAGGAGAAGGAGGAACAGGATGATGAGGCAGGGAGGAGGGTCAAGAGAAACTGGGCTACCCGCCGCCCGCCTGGGCCACCGCATGGACCCTGTGCGCAACGTCCGCTGGCCACCTCCCTTTTCAGCACCCCTTGTGTCCAGAACTCTATCTGGAACTCGTCCTCAACACTAGGACACGGAGGCGCAGACGGGGTCGGAGGCGCACCTGCCTTATCACCGCCGGCTGCTGCTTTCGGTTAGCCTCCTCCTCCTCCTCCTCCTCCTCCTCCTCCTCATCATCCTTGTATCTTTTCTGCCACCACAGCAAACACGTCGTTCAGGCTCCGATGGAACCACTGCCCAGTGAAGTGGCAAACGCCACAGTGAAGGAGGAAGGAGGGGAGCGAGCGAGGCCATTCAGTTGGCAGTTCTCTCGAGATACGCCCTCAGATCCGTCGTCGCGGAGTGGCCACAAAATCGCGCAAACAACTGGGACTCTCGACCCCGTCTTGATACGGCATTTCTCGAGCCCGATAGGTCGGTGAGGGCCTGGGGTCCCGAAATGGAGCAGAAACGCCCGCCGTGCTTCTTCCGCCAAACCCGAAGAGCAATGTGTGTCATGTTCCACGTGTATCGAGAATTTCATTATCATGATTACCCACCATGTTATTACACCGGCGAACGTTTGCTACGATCTGACTGGGTCACGCACAGCGAGGGCCAGGCGGCAGGTCAATTGACCTCGAGTACTGATTGAAATCACAGAGTTTCAGACGACACAGGATGGGTGCGAAGCGGGAGGGTGCCTTTCAGCTCGAGCCCGCATATTGATGGGCGGCAAGCAGCGTGGGGGGGACGCAAAAAGAGCGACCCGAATCAAACACTACAAATTATTCCCGCGCACGCACTAACATGATTACCCGTGTTTTTACGGCGGAGGACGTGTGCTACGATCTGACTGGGTCACGCACAACGAGGGCTAGGCGGCAGGTCAATTGACCTCGAGTCCTGATTGAATTCTCCCAAATCCCCGAATTAGATGGTTCACAGAGCGGGGGAGAAGGGAGGGGAGAGCGAGATAAAGGCCAGGTGCTAGCAGGCACCAGGGCAACCAAAACTAACGCGGCTTCGATCCGGGGAATCCCACGAACGTTGAAAGTCGACGAGGCCAGTTTCTCACAGCACAAAAATTTTGCGAGGGCAGCCGCGAGACGAGGAGGGCAAGGCTGAGCAATACGGGCCCAAAGAATATTATTGTCACTACGCCCACTAAGCTCTTGATGACGGCGGTTGGTGCGAGAGCATATTCCACAGTGAGTATCACAACATTTCGCCCGATGAAAACGAATTCTCCTCATACATATTGCCCCACACAAGCCAAATCCTCTTCCTCCAGGGAGCCCCCCATTGACAAAAATCAGTTTTTCTCCACTGGGCCCTTGCTTGTCTACACAATTTGAGAATCTCAGGGATGTACCACAGTCAGGATGTGCATGGGTTCTCAAGTACCCATGGAATGTTGTATCGAGTTGAATGTTGGAGTGTTCGAATAATTACACGAATCAGCACATGACCAACCCGGAGAGCGTCTCGATCCCTATATGAGGCATGAGTCAAGTCGGTACCCCAAGGCCGCTCACGAGAACGAATATTGCAGAGATGACGATCTCACTCGATAGATCATCTTCGAGCCATAACAGCTTCGGCGGGGACACCCCGCCCCACTCAGTCCAGGCATGCACGGGCCTTGCTCAGGGGACCACTTAGGGCCCAAATCATGCACTAGGGCCTCTATGGGCCTAACGCTCACGCCAGGGCCTCCTTGGGCTCTGGCCTACTATCTGGCCGCCTCGGGAGGGGCCGTACACTCACTGACGCCTGCACGCCCCCACGGCGCCTCGTCGAGGCACGTCACCTCGCTCACCTTGCCATTGGCCGCAAGCTCGTTCTCACCCGTGCTCGCCTCGGGCAACACAATGAACCTCGGCGTCGTGTGCTTCCACTTGTACGTGCACGGCGATTGACTCGCCTTCTCCTCCGTCGTCGGCCTGTCCGTGAACTTCACCTTGTTGCTCAGCTCCTTTCTCCGATTCGGGGTATTCGTATGCTTTACCAGGTTTTGCTTCGTGGTGCTGTCCATCTTCGTCCACCACTTGCAAATCAAACACCCGAGCAGTGCTCCTGCCACGAACGTTGTCATCATCACGATCAGGATGATCATTGTCGTGTGGTCGTCGATCCAGTCCTGCAGCTTTGTAGCCTCCCAGAGGGTAACTGCACCCTGGTCGAGATCTCGCACTGCGCATTCGCTCGCCTTGGTCGCACCGCCCGTCACTCCTCGCGCGAGCAGTGTCGCCAACAAGCCTTGCTTAGCCCAGGCGCTCGTTGTCACCGAGCACGCCTCCAGCTCCTCATGCTTGTCCATCTCGCTGCAGTCCACGACGCCAGCAAGTTCTCGCAGGTGCTCGAACCGCTCCGTGGCATGCGCCTTGGTCCCTAGGTCGGCCACGTTCTTTGTTCCACTCCCCTTCTTGATGATCAGTCCGTGGACCTTGCGCTCCTGCTGGACCCACTGCGCCCGGACGTCCAGGTGCTTCACCTTTCCGACGCCCTCGCGGTTGATCATCGCCTTCGCGGCGCTGCTGTCGATCCCGAGCTCCCAGGTCACCTTGTAGCCCAACCACTCTAGCATGTTCTTCACCAGCTTGCCGTCCATCACCACCGAGGTCGCGCCGTAGAACTCCGCCTCACCTGAGGATGTGCTCTGAACTCCCTGCCTCCTTGCGAACGCTGCAAAATGCACTCCGTCCAGCTTTGTGATCCCACAGGTCATCGCACGCCTCGTCTCCTTGCACGTCGCGAAGTCCGCGTCTGTGAACAACTGCAGCTTCACTTCTCCAGGCTTGCTCCCAGTTGGCTTTTCCATCAGCACTCCATACGTCTTTGTCCCCTTCAGGTACCTCACCAGCTTCACCAGTCGCTTCCTGTCAAACTCCGTCGGCTGACTCAGGTTCCTGGTCAGCAGCTGCACGCCCCGCTGGATGTCCGCTCTGTCGGGCGAGATGTAGAACGCGATCCCGACTCCTGTGCGAAACTTCGCCCTCTCGATCTCGTCCAATTCAGGACTCCATGTCGGGTCCTCCTCAGTCAAGCTTGGTGCCCTCGTCGGCTTGGCCTTCTCCATGCCCATTACGTAGATCAGGTCGTCGATGTGCTTCACGTTCGGCCTCAGCATGACGTTGCCGTTCATGAGCCTCCGCCTGTCCCGCTTCAGGTGCGAGTAGAGTCCCTGTCTGATGACATCCGTCGCTTTCAGGTCGAACACCTCCCGCAGCCGCTTGATGGTCCCCTCCAGGCTGCTGATTGGACCCTCCCCGTGGAAGTCGTCCATGTGCACCTCGATCAGGATCTTCTTCTCTCTGCGGTAGTAGAACTGCGGCTGACACTCACTCCTGTCGAAACCCTCTCCCTTCAGGGTCTTCGCCGCCTTGTCCACCCAGCCAGCGCCTGCCACGCGCTGCCCAGGTAGCATCTCGTTGAGCGCCCAAACGATGTCGGTCGGTCTGCCCATCTCCGCCAAGATCGCAAGATACTCAGCAGGTGGCTCCACACAAACCTTCTGTCTGGTCCGCTTGGTAGTACGCCTTCACGCAATCCGCGATGAAGGTCCCGTGGCTCTCATCTTTGATGCTGACGAAGTCCACCAACCTGCTCGTCTGTGCCGATGAGCTCGCTGCGAACACGTCGTCACGCTGCTCCATCCACTTGAACTCCTGCGCCACATACCGCCACTTGCAGATACCTCCTCGCATCTGCGGCTCCCAGCGCGCCCTGATCCTCTTGAACTCACCGCTCTCGCTCCTCGGGACGTCCCTGTGCACCCCGTAGTGCGCCAGCACTTCTAGTGCCTCGCGCTTGCCCTTGAGCTCCACCGCGAGCTCCAGTCCGCTGACCGTCATGTAGCAGTCGGTGCCCATCCTGTCCAGGATGCTGTAGTCGATAGGGTCGTCGAGCGAGATGGCGTCCACGTGCTTCGCGCGCTTGACTGGTGCGCCGAAGTCTTCAGCGTCGGCAGGTCTGACAAGACCTCGAGGTGCCATCGGCACGTCCGCATCCGTCGTGCTCTTCTCCTCTGGTCTCGCTGCCGCTGCCGCTCCAGCTCCAGGCCCCGCGGGCGCCGCCGATGGCCCCGCGCTCGCTGCTGCAGCCGGCTGCGCCCCCTGCTCGGGCGCCCCCTGGGGTGGCGCCGCCTCGCGCGCTGCCTCCTGCGCCTCGGTCTTCGCCTTCTGCTCCGCCGCCGTCAAGACGATCGCGGGCATCGGCCT